AGCGCAGACAGGTCTTCCCGCCGATCAGGGAGACACAGAACGCCGAGGAGGCACGCCGGGGCAGGGCCGAGCGCAGGGGAGGCGAGCGGCCGGCAACTGCCGAGGATCCCCCTCCGCCGGTGCCGGTCCAGGACTACCCTCCACTGACGGCGAGTCCGGTGACATGGGTGCCAGCGCCGCCGGTCATGGGGCCACTGCCGCCAGAGGTGACGATGCCGGCTCACACCGCAGGGCAGACAGCGCCGGGCCAGGCCACGAGTTCTACTACCACGCCGCCCAGGACTACCACACCAAGGCGCCGGTCGGTGGATCGCAGGCGCACGCCGGACAGAGTGGCATCTCTCTCGCCGGGCCCCACCCGCCGGTCTGGAACGGTGGGCATCCGCTCCAAGCTGTCCGACGCGGAGGTGGCGGAGATTCGCCGCAACTTGTCGCCGGACTATGCCCGCTACAAGGACCGGATGCACCGCCGCGGCGCGGCCGCCGAAGATGACATGCCGCAGTCCATCCGCCACCTCGCCCGCCCGACGGTGGAGGATGTGATTCAGATGGAGGAGTCGGCGGCCGCCGGGGACCAGTCCGCCGTGCCGAAGATACCGCCGGCATCAGCCCCCACCTTCTGCGGGTACTGGTTCTGCCGCCGTCTCCCTGAGGGGTATCTTGGCGCCAGGATTCCCTGGGAGGCGCAGAAAGAACGCCGCAGGGTCGCCGGATGGTGCACACACCCTTGCACAGCGGATGGCTGCCAGTATGTCGCCGAGTGCCGCAAGCTCACCTCCGCCGGGGTCGGTCGATGCCTGAGGCCCGTTATCATAGATAACGGCGCCGATCACTTTGACCAACAGTGCGCCGTGTGCGCCGGCCTCAAGGCGCCGTGGGATTAGTCGCCGAGGCGGGGCGACGCACGCCGGAGCCGGCAGCAGCACAGATCCATGACGACATCGCCGCGCTCCAGGCAGACGCCGACAAGGCACTTTTGCGACGCAGGTCGCCGACCAGGCTCTTCCGCCGGCAATGTTTTGCGACATGTGTCGCCGCTTTGCCGCCTTCCTGAGCACACGCCGCATGGCGCCAAAAAGCCTTCCTCAGCCTCGTGTGTCGCGCCTTGTGTCGCCGTCGGTTGCCCTCTCTCTCTTCGTCGGTCGTCGCCGCTGCTGTCTTTGCCCTGGTGTCCCGTAGCCGTTTTGCTCTGGCTCGAGGTACCCGCGCCGACGACGCGACGCCCAGGCAGACATGGCACTGGTGCCGGTGACGACGACGGGCGGCTCCACCTTTGGAGATTTTCTCAAGGTTGTCGCCGACGCCGGTGGAACGGCGCATCTCGCGACCTTCGCCCGCCTGGGGGTGACTAACTCGCCGGCGGTCCGGGAATCTTTCCCGGTGCTGCTCGACCACGGCGTGCCCGAGACGGTGCTGCTGGCCATCCTGGCGCCAGTGCCGCCGCAGCAGCCGACGCCGATGCTGTCGCAGACTAGGTCTGACGTGCCAGAACGCCGGTCTTCTACCAGGGCGTCCATGGCAGCGGCGCTCGAGGCGATGGACCCGAGCCGCCGAGAGGAGACCATGGCGGCGATTGACTCCAACCTGCTGGCGCAGTCAACCCGCCGATCCATGGAGTCGAGAGTCCGGATGGTGACCACACTCGCCGAGAAGGGGATTCCAGCTGTTCCCCCTCGACGCGCAGAAGTTGCAGCTTATCGCCGGAGCCCTCCGCATTGGCGGGTACCGTTCGGCGGGGCTCTATCTTGACGCCGTTTTGTGGCACCAGGAACACCGCCTGCGCTCGCCGGTGTCGGCTGACTTACGCCGCGCCGCTCGGTCGATCACCAAGGCGGCCTTACGCGGCTTGCCGGGCTCCAGACTTAAGCAGGCCTTTGACCTCGCCGACCTGGCCACCCTCGTGGAGCACGACGTGGTTGACGGCTCTCTTGACATGGACACCCTCCCCCACGCCGTCGACGTGGTGGTGTTCTCGACCTGGTTCATGCTGCGCGAGATAGAGATCGCCGGGGCGAGGGTCAAGGACGTGGAGATCACCACGGCGACGGTCTCCCTGGACATACCACTCCACAAGACGGCGCAAGGCGGCCAGCTGGAGCTCACCCGCCGTTCCTTTCGGTGCGTGTGCAGCACGGCGCGGCAGCCGTTGTGCCCGCGGTGCACCGCCGATCGACATGTGCGCCGCCTGGCTCGGTCAGAACCGGGAGCATACCTCTTTCCCGGCGCCGGCGGGCAGCAGAGAACCAAGTTGGAGACCGCCGGGCTTTTCAACATGGTCCTGTCCGCCGCGGGTCTGCAGACGATCTACACCGACAGCGCCGGACACAAGAGGTTTGTGTTCGGGGGACACGCCGCCAGGATCGCCGGGGCGACATTTTTGGCACTACGCGGCGTCCCCGTCGCGATCATTCAGCTGATCGGGCGGTGGTCAAGCACCGCCGTTGAAAGATATACCCAACAGGCGCCGTTGGCGGTGGCGCCGGGCATTCCGGCTCAGGCGCTCGCGGCGGGCGGCACACAGGCTAATGCCGTACTGAGGCCCCCGCCGGCCGCCCTTGGGCAGGCACATTGGGCCCAGGCGATTTGTGACGCCCCGCCGGAAGCACAGCAGAACCAGACGGCCGAGCCGGGACCCGCGGCCACGACGGATGGGCAGCTAGCCGCGCGCGCCGGAGGGGACCGGTACCCTGGCAGCTGCGGGCGTGCCCGCCGTTGACTTCTCCGCCGAGCTGCCAGCTATCGACTTTGTGCCCGCGCCGGTGTCGGCGGAGCGAGCCTTGATACCGGCGGCGACGGCGACGCACTACATTGTGAACTGTCGGACCCGCCTGCTGCACAAGCCCGCCGCGGAGGAGGCCGAGACAGAGCGCGCCGAGTGGCAGGCACGCTGCGGCTGGCCATACGGCGTGCGCCAATTCTACAGGTTGCACGACCTGCCGCCGAACCCCTCGATGTGTCGCCGGTGCTTTCCCGACACGCCGGTGGACTTGGACGCACCGGAAGCCGTGTCGTCGTCCGGCAGCTCATCCTCTACCAGTGGCGCCACCTCGGATTCTGACTGACCAGGACGGGCCGTTCGTCGCTTAA